TTTTTTAACACAACCTCGTCAAGTCGAGAAGCGAGAGAAATTTCAGTCTTTCGGTTAGAATTATCCTATTTCTGTTTGCTTTGAAAATGTCACTTACCCATGAGCTCGTACCAGCGATAGATCACGTCCTGTTTCAAATTGATCGTGCCATAGTTGTTGAAATATATCGTCATCACCGATTGATTTTTGACCTCCTTGTCTCTTCTTCGGATTTCCAAAAAAAAAAAAAAAAAAAAGGATTATGGAGTTCGAGACAGTTTAAACAGATAATAATATTCTAACTTACAGTATCTCGGAGACGTGTTCCAAACCGAACATGGCCATCTTCGCGTTGTATTTCACGTCGCTACATTCGGGATAACATTTGCAATACAGGGTGTTCGTTTTCTCTATCTCCTCGTCGTGGTCGTACAGATTCCCGTGCGGTACCACGGACAACCATTTAGCTGCAATTCGAACACCAGACTTGCAGATTCATTTCTCGAACCTTCGTTTAATCGAATCGGTCACATTGAAATCATCGACACAGATTTCACCGACAATATTTCATCGACTCCAGATTTGTACAACAATTTTAGCCGACGACAGTATTAACCGACAACGATACTGACCGATGAAATTATTATGATATTTGTTCATCATTGTTTTTCTAACGATAACACAAAGTTCAAGTTATTTTATTTTTAGTTAGACAACATAATTTCTGCAATAACAGAACCATCATTTTCTGGGATATGGTCGAGACATTTTTGTATGATCAACTATTTTCACAAACAATAAGAATGATTATAATTCTGTTCGATGTACTAGAAGCAATAAACGCGGACTGAGGCGATATGCAATTGTCTAATGTCGTTGTCGATAAAAACTGTTGTCGGGCAAAGTTGCTGTGGGGAAAATCTGGAGTCGATGAAACATTGTCGGTGAAAACAGCGGCGGAGAAATCTGTGTCGATGATTTCGATGGGACCCAATCGAATAAGCATAATCGCTGGGAGAATTACGAATTCCATGGCGTCACGACTCGTCGTGGATAGTTCATTAATTAATCAATCTCGCGCAAGGAGCCGTGACACAGTATCGTAATTCAGCCAAACAATTCGACGGGGCGGCTGCTTGGTGATCTACGAAGCCACGAAATTCATAATCTCGACTTGCTGCTTACATTTATACTGCGACAAGCACGGCACGTCTGCCAAGTTGCACACCTTTTTAGACTCTGGAAATAAATGTACGAGCGGTTAATGAATATCCGAGATATTCCGAGAGGTTGTATAGTGTAAACAGAATGCAACGAAATTTTTAATTCTTTCAAAAGCAAAGTTTCTGATTTGCTTCCTCTACGAGAGATGCTCGATGCGGAAATCATGGGAATTTTACTCTTCTTAGATTCAAGGATAAAACTCGAGCAATTCGACCCTACAGAATTTCTAACTTTGGATCTGGATCTCGATGGATCAAGCATAAAATGCGTAAGTCAAATATGACATAACGTTATTTATTTACATTCTCGTCATTGTTGTATTCGTTTATTATGTGTTTTTCCTTTTAATGGTTTCCCTGTTAAATAAAAATAAATAAACAAATTTCGGGAGAAAAAATTAATATACAAAAATATTAATTAATATTAATATGTTAGTATACGAAAATATTAATTAACATTGTATTAAAATATAAATCAGAAAGTGACGGCTATTTCCCAATCTATGTATTTTAATTATAAAACTCGAGCAATTCGACCCTACAGAATTTCTAACTTTGGATCTGGATCTCGATGGATCAAGCATAAAATGCGTAAGTCAAATATGGCATAACGTTATTTATTTACATTCTCGTCATTGTTGTATTCGTTTATTATTATTTCCTTTCCTTAATGGTTTCCCCGTTAAATAAAAATAAATAAACAAATTTCGGGAGAAAATATTAATATACAAAAATATTAATTAATATTAATATGTTAGTATACGAAAATATTAATTAACATTGTATTAAAATATAAATCAGAAAGTGACGGCTATTTCCCAATCTATGTATTTTAATTTCTTTGATACAGGTTTCAGTCTAGATTTTCATATCGCGCGCGATCTGCTTTGAATCATTGAAAGACACGCCACGTTCCTTGACAGACGGGCCGGGTCTCGTAGTTTCTCTAATCTCAGAAGAAGGGTGTCGTTAATGTCTTACAAAGGCACGCTCAGCCAGTCAACGTTGTCGCGGTTCATTTCGACGCAGAGTGAAAGTGAAAATAGGGGATGAGAAGAGAGGGCCCTTTGAACGTTCCGTACGCTTCGCGGTGTCGACCTTGTCGCGCCTGTCTCTGCTTTTAAAACATTACCCAGTGAGAAATAACGATCCCGTACGCGTTTCTCTTGCTTGTCTTTCTCAATTGGAACAGAACTGGAATTCTGATTTCAGCCAGTTTTGCCATGATGAATACGCAACGACTTAATTTATTATTAGGTTTAATTAACGTTTAATTTTTTATTAAATTTTCTATTAAATAACGTTCTAATAAAGTTCTAGTAAAGTTCTATTGAATTTAATAATAGTTTAGTATTATTACGTGGCTCTATCTTCTAATAAAGTGTGAAATTTATACCATAAATTTATATTTACATATTCACATTGCTACATATATAAATTTATACTATAAATGAGTACACCATAAATTTATATTTATATATCTATAGTGCCACATATATAAATTACACTATAAATGTGTGTACTATAAATTTATAAATTGTATAAAATTATTAAAAATTTAAATTATATTCATATATTTATATTTACATAATTCACAAGTTTATAGTACAAGATTATATAAATTTGTATTCGTATGATTTATAGTACATATATTTATACATAGTACAAATTTATAAATGTAGTATCAATATACAGTATCAAATTTATAGTATATATAATATTTACAGTACAAATTATAGTACAGATTTGTATTTGTACTATAAACATATTGATAATCATATTGTAATTTGCATAGCATGTTGTGATCGTACGAATACGACAGTCAATGCTCTCTGTATTGCGTAAATTACAATAAAACATATCGATCCTTACCTCGATTAGGCAAAAAGAAAGGTATACACCCGCACATCTTCCACATGTCCAGAGCTTTGCAATCGACAATGCAGTTGCTGTAAGTGTAAAACATCTGAGGCCCGGTCAGTTCATCCTCGAACACGCAATCGCGTTTCTCCAAAGAATGCGACATAATTCTCCTTGCGCTGTAGAACATGATTGCCTCTAGCTGCACGCTCCGGTGTACCCTCGGCGAGACTAAAAAGTCGATCACACCTCCGCTGGTTGTGTCCGGATAATCGTGCGGATTGAAGATCGTTACCTGAAAGTCGCAAACTCGTCATCCTGAGTTAATATCTTTCATTATAAAATTAAAATGTATTAAAATATATTAAAATATATATAAAATTAAAATATATTAAAATATATTAAAATGTATATAAAATTAAAATATATTAAAATGTATTAAAATATATTAAAATATATATAAAATTAAAATATACTAAAATATATATAAAATTAAAATATATTAAAATATATTAAAATATATATAAAATTAAAATATATTAAAATATATTAAAATATATATTATATATAATAGATATAATTAAAATATATAATATGTGTATATATATAATATGAGAAATTCTTTTAAAAGCAAATTCAATATTAGGACAACAACGTATTGTTAAAAACAATCCTGAAATAATTTGAATTATTAAAAAAATTCCTAATATTTGTCCTGTTATTTCTAATATTGATCCAAATTTCGTATGCAATTAATATGTAATGGTGTTGGAAGGTTGATAAATGACAATGGAATTTTTAATATAACATCGCTGTAAATTATTATTTTAAATTTTTTCGTTATATAATAATTTACTTCGTAAAGATTATTCTTTTATATAACAAATTCTTTACGAACTCCCATGAACTGTCAGACTGTTTAAAGACGTTACTTAACGCACGGTGCTTCGATATTTGAACGCGTCGAGTCGACTCGACGACGCGGGAAATAATCACAAGTCGAGTATTTACTGTATTTACAGCGTCGGCGAGTCGTCGTCCGGAAGGTGAAAGAAAAAAAGAGAGAGAAGAAAAGAACCTAACCCGCAATTTGCATAATGCAGCAATCCTCGGCTGTCACGCGAGATAATCGTCAGGAACGACCACGACCCACATTTCCGGTGGCGTGATTACGAGCGAGACTCGTTTCTGGCTGGATCTGGCGGAATTTTGGTTACGGATAATTGCGAAATTGACGAAGGTTAAAACATATCCGCGTGATATTAATTCGCGGAAGATCGTTTCATTATCTGATTAACGAGCGAGATTGACCATCCCCGCGGCTGTCAGTTTAATTTGATGATATTCGAACATTAACGATCCGTTATGACGCGATGATACTTGGAATATTATTCCGGGGCTTTCTGACTGAATGTTAAACAGCTTGTTCCGAAGGACATTCGAGAAAGAGAGAGAAAGAAGAAGAGAGGAAGAAAGACAAAGGAAAGCAACGCCGCGGAATTAAAAATTCCGTAAGCGTTTCGTGCAAGCGCCAGCTTCAACTCGACTGATGAAAAATTACCTTCCAGCCAGCGCTCGGGAAAATAGGATAGAAGTAATCGTCTAGAAACGGGTCCAGCACCACCAACAGCCCCCCGTTCTCGGTCAGATCTTCCACCTTCATCGACTCCAGCTTCACGTCCCTGCGCAACACGTTTCGACGTTGAGGAGAGAAACTTCGCGAAGAAGCGACGAGAAGAATAGCTGGGTAAATCGTTCTCTTCAAATTTAATAAACATTGCCGTCTAGTGACAATAATTTAACTTCTTGTAACGTAACCTTGTAATAGTTAAATATATTGACATTCAGCGTGCTTTCTATAGATTATCAAATTATATTATAAACATTATAGATAATCATAGATATTAATATTATAGATAATAAAACGTTATTAGAGTTAATATTATAGATATTAATAATTGAAAAATTTATTATAGATAATTATGAGTTATAAATTTAAAAATTTATAAATATAATAACTTAAAAAATTATAGATAATTATGAATTATAAATTTAAAAATTTATAAATATAATAACTTAAAAAATGATTATAGATAATTATAAATTAAAAATTTATAAATTTTATAAATTTAAAATGTTATTACAGATAATTATAAATTATAAATTTATAAATTTTATAAATTGAAAAAATTATTATAGATAATTATAAATTAAAAATTTTAAAATTTCATAAATTTAAAGATTATTATAGATAATTATAGACTGTATTAACTCTTAAATAAAATAAAATTTTGCACAGCGTCAAGAAACGACATTTATGGGTAATCCTAATAATTTCCAAGCAGCGAAAGAAGAAGAAAGCGCAAAGGGAAAGGAATTTTGTTTCACAAAAACACAAAACAAACGGAAGCTTGCACGCGGTCTGTAGAAACCGCTGTGAAAAAAGAAAAAGTGAAACGACTTGCGACGCAGAATGAATAATATAAATAATTGGCCGATGGAAGACAAAGCCGGTCTGGAAACTCACAGATGCGTATCGTCCCCTTTGGTCGCGTAATTGAAGGTACAGCAGTAGCCGTCCTGCGTCTTGCGGAACGTGAACAGTTCCGAGCAGTTCCACTCCTTGTCGTGAAACCGACACTTCAACAGCATGGAGGAACACTGTGGCGTCAACTGAAACGTTTGACACAGAGGGATCGGTCGAAACGATAAACAGAGAGCTCTAAAATGGAAATCTCCGTTGGTAACATACAGAGGCGAACGAAAATATTCGTCAGGCTCGATGAAGAACTATCGATATTTTGAAACTCGACAAAGAAAAAATTTTATTCTACGTTTTTTACTTATTTTTGAACGTATGATACATTTCTATTAATTATTCATTTTTATCACGTCTAGAATTATTTAAATTCAATGTCTATTCAGTCTAGAATTAATTTTTAAAAACGAAGTCAAAGGTATTCCGACTTTTTTAATTTATTTTTGAACGTAGGATGCTCTTCTGTCACGTCTAGCATTAGTCAAATTCAACTATCTAGCCCAGAATTAGTAAATTTTCAAAAACGAATCCTCAAGTTGAAGAAAGCTTTTTCTCGACGTGGTACGATTTGGAAAACACTCTGTACAATATAAGAATGGTATATCGAAGTGTATGTGTATAAATTGACTCACTCGTTTCATTACGTCGACGATATCGTAAGAGCCTTTGTGATACACGGTGAGAAGCTGATCGATTCGATTGGAGCGGTTCTGCGGCGTGAACTCGGAGTCGTAAAGATCGCCCAGCTGCGAGATCATGCTGAGAATCTCGTCCGCGGGCAAATCGGTGATGTTCGCCGCGAATCTGAATGTTAATTAAATGGAACCTTTGGAAAACGCGGGGGAAGTTTGTGAGAACGAACATACGAATGGGTGGCAAATTTTCGAAATTGATCGAGCAAATTTTTCTGGACACGGGAGGTGGGGGAAGGGGGTTGGCGCGCGCGTGAGGCGAACGAGCAAACGACGGGACATGATAAAATATATTCGCTGGATACGTTGGCGGCGATCGATGCTCGCCCGAAACGTTTTGCTCGAAAATTAAATTAAAAATTCTATCCTATGAAAATTAACGACGTTGCGCGCGCGAGCGCGTACAGGCGGGCAAAGTGTCCATGGAAATGAGTCGCAAATTTACGTCAGATGAAATTACACGGTTCGAGTTAAATATTTATCGTCGTTGTTGTAAATCGCGATTAAGCGAAAACGACGTCACTCGCGATTTTAATATTAATAGATAGTGTCCCTCTATTTTTCTTCTTTCTTCTCTATCTCTCGTCCTATAGCGAAAGAGAGATCCGACGCTATACGCTGCATATTAATGGGAATTTTTTTTTTCTTTTTTCTTGCGTGGCAGACTTAAAATAACTCTCGCTAACTGAATATTAATGGCCAGTTTTTGCAAATTCGGGGCTAATTAAGGACGCGTTCTTGCGTTCCCCTTTTAATGAACGTTTCTTCTCATCGACGCGAGGAGGAACTTTTCCAAATACAATCGGCGAGATGTTATCGCGATGATTCGGAATAACGTTGCGTGTTCACAAAAGTATATCGTCGAAATCACGAAATCGAGATCGCGCCTCTCGACGCGGAGATTTTATTGCCTCGAGAGATTCCCGAGAGAGAGAGAGAGAGAGAGAGAGAGAGAGAAAGAGAGAGAAGAAAATTAAAAATTTAATTCAAGGAAATATGAATCACATCACGCCGTTGTAATTATAAAAATTACCAGTCGAATATATAGATCGATGCGACAAACGAAAGCTTCTAAGTTCTTGCTCGAAAAGTTGTTATTTATGGATTTCATCAATCGTTCGAATTTGCATGTAAAACCGCGTGCAAAGAGAAAAAAAGAAATATCGATACGAGTTAATGTACCGTCCGAAATGACAAATACGCAGCCCCGTTTTTTCTCTGTCAGCGTTGCAGGTTACGCTTAAACAAGTGCTTGACAAATATTTACTCCCGGTATTTTATGACAAATAATAAATATACAGAGCCACACGTGTATCGTAGAACTGCAGTAAAAATTAGACAGCTTTGCCACACTCTCTACGAATATATTTATATATATATATATATATATATATATATATATATATATATCGCAGGTCGACAGAACAAGTCATTTTCTGTAAAAATAATGGTATTACGCTACGTATATCGAAAGGCTATTAGTTTTGGAGATAATTTAACTTTAATTTTATAAAATCTATCATGTGAAAAATGGAGAAAGAGCTGTAGCTTTGTATCCATACTGTTCTCGTCTTTCGTGTATATTATATTTTATAAATAAATTCTTCTAAACTAATAGGTTTCAGACGTAGATAAATTAACACTTTAAAAATTACAAAATTATACTTGAAAAAATAGTAGTGACACACGTCTATCTAGAGATAAACTAATAAGGAAGCATAAAAATATTTTTGATGAAATTTGGCATAAATGTAAATTGATAAAAATCGTCGAAGAGGTGAAAACTACTTTCAAAGTTGGTGGTGCTGAATATATTTTCAAATATCTCGGAAATTATTGAGGGTTTTTGTGTAAATTAATAAAATTAGTATTTTTTTAACGACATTAAAATGAAATGCTCTATACGTCTCTCAATCGTTCTCGAGCTATTTCAAACTTCACGGCTCGCAACAATTTTTCTTCGTCTCCGCGACAGAGTTGCAAAATCTGAAAGTCGAAGCCTGTTATGTTTTGGCTGTTATACGTCATCGAAGTTTCTCATAATGCAGACGGTGAATTTGAATGAACGAACACGCGCTGTCTCGGCCAAATAGAATTTTCGGGAATGCAGGGAAATAACGGTGGAATTCATTTATGAACGGAGGGTATATTCTAAACGCGAAACCGCAACGTCGGCCGCAATCGAAATTATTCGTACAACGGGATTCGTTGGCTACTATTCCTTGCCCTACGCTGAATTATGCTCTTCCACCCGTCTTCGTGTTCGCCTATTTTCATTTACTTGACATTTAAACGCTGCTCACATTTCGTTTGCCAGCTCCGTCGCCGATCGAAAACTTATCCGGTTGATGCTGCAGATCGCCACCCCTGGAAAAGACCATTCGACTTTCGTGAAACAACTCGAGAAAGAATCGACAAGTTTCTTGCTAGAAGACCCACCAATGTTGGTGAAAATGAACTCGTTGTTTCGCGATCAACCGAATTAATTTTGCAATAATCAGCTCATTAACGCGAGTGTGAATGCACAGATCGATGGCAAACGAAAATTTTCCACGATAAAAGTATGGCTCAATGATGCAATATGAATTGCAAATAAGATATTTTTTTACGCTACTTTGTGAATTAAAGTTGCAAATAATTTCGATTAAAAGTACTGGTTTCTAGGCTTCGAGCGTTGTTACTTGACAGGGATTCTGGCAATTGTTTGATTTTTCATTCAGTTTGCCCCAGAAATTCATCGATTCTACAAACTTTCAAATTGCAGCACGCGGTTAAATAGACGAAAGATGTGTTGAATTTACCTGGGAAATATAATTGGTACGTGGGGAAGTATTCCGTTTCGACGCTAGTGAACAACGGTTTCTCCATGAATTCCAGATACGTGCAGTAGATGGAGTAAACCATGGCGGACACCGTGACCGTGTACACCATGAACCACAGTACTCTAGGAAACAAAAAACGGGCTGTTAACAAAATTTTTCTGTACGCAACCGCATGAATTTCAGTTGTTGCAAATTCTAGATATTCACTTCATCGAACGTTGCATCGAACGCAGTCTCAGAAAAAATTTCTTTCTCGACGCGTTCGAAAGAAAGTCAAAAATTTATCGATGTTCGTTCGTTTCAGTGAGAATGAAAAGTCACAGGGTGCACAGAGAGTTAGAAAATTTCTATATTATAAATTGCTTGTTATCTATTACGAACAGAGTCGTACAAATGTGAGTAATAAAAATAATAAACAGTAATGAAATTCATATAAATAAGTAGTACGGCACAAGCAATATTCCGATCATTAACACGTTCCGATTTTTGGTTATTTTCCGTTTAGATCGCGTATACACCCCACGCTATTACGATTAATAATTTTGCTTCTGAAGTATGTCCTACGATTATTATAATATAGTGAAAAAAATCTAGAATTATCAAGAAGAGTGTCTGAAATTTGAAGACGCATTACAGAGCAATACAATAAATTTAATTTTAAGGTTATTATTTTAACAAACAATTCATTAATGATGTGAAGATTAATTTAAAATGAAAGATTTTGTTTCAATTATTTTTAATGTTATTGTTCATGTACTAAATAATAAATACTATTAAATAATAATTATATAATGCTATATAATAATACTAAATATTAATAAGTAACACTTACTTTAACTTTTTACTTTGATAATAAATTTTATTTAAAGCGTCTTCTTATCGAATTGAATTGATCTTAACAGTCGGAAAAAATATGTCCCACGATATTTAAACGCGGTATTTATGTCAATATATGATTTTACGAAAAATTCCTCGTTTTATAATGAAAATTCCAATGGCTTGAACGTGCACGAAACGTGTTAACTCGAGCAACAGATCATTTCAAATGATAGAAATTTAGATCAACCAATGGTTCTAGCATTCTAAACAACAGATACTTCAAACAACAGTCCAAGACAAATCAACAACGATTCAACACGGATTCGAGAGTTGCGGTCCTCTGTTTCTCGAAAGCCTGTACAAGTATCGACGCGCTTTCTTCTTTCGAAAAGAAATGCGTGGCGCCTAAATTACCTGTCGAACCACGTCGCTTCCGGGTCCACGAAGTACCTGAATCCGGCGAGCTTCGTGTACCTGCAGTACAGCTTGCAGTATTTTATCAACGTTCGCGTGAACCGAGATCTAGTCGCACGCTTCTCAGGCAACTGCCAAGCTCGCGGGACACTGGTGTCCCTTCTCGATTTATCCTCTTGCCAGACTTTCATCTCGCTCACCTTCTCTTTCCGCGATTGATCGCGAAAGAAAACAAGAAATGAACAAAAAAATGTATCAACGTTCCACTGGCCGCGTTTTCAACGGCGCGGCGATCATCGCCGAACGAAGAAACGAAAGCGCGACGCTCGCGAATAAACGGAATAATTCGAGCGCGGCGAGCTGCTCTCCCGGCGATAACGATAATGGCGCGTTTGACGAGAATTTCACGAATATTGCGCGTTGAAAAAAAAAACCGGCGGCCGGCTAATCGAGGAAACGAGAATTCTAGGGCTTCAATCGGGAGGAAAATTTGCCTTTCGAAATTCTCAGATTACGCGATTAAATTCGCGTTCAACGCTCAGCACAGTTGCTCGTTCAGCTGACCAACTCTCGACTGTGCTTCGCCAACACGTTTATATCCGCTCGTGCTCGTCCTTTTCCTCTGGTTTTTTTTTCTTTTTTTTTTTTNTTTTTTTTTATCACGCGTAACTCATTCTTGCCTATCTCTGACATCGTTTCACCGGTGATCGCCTGTTACACGCACACTCACGATGGAACGCTCGTGAAATTCGTTGCAACGCGTTTGTTCCTTGCCGCGTTGAAACGGGAAATTTTCAGACGCAACCACACACGCGAAACAACACGGCGTTATCGTCGAAAAGAGAAAAAAGAGATTCATTGCAGAAATAGGGAAACAAGGACACGAGCCCTGTCGTTTGAATATTAATCGTCAGAGGAAATATCTGTAGAAATATCATCTACGTGTCACGAGGTTTCACTCGTGTCGTTTGAACGTCGCTTCGTTCATTTATTTACTCTTTTTTTTCTTTAATATTTAATTTCGCGATTCGACGTTCGATTAAAGAGAACGACACGAAAATGATCGATGAGCGATGGTCGGATAAAAATGGAAGGAGGGGAAGCTGGAAGTTTCGTACAAGTTCCTCCTCCCCGGGGCGTTCGCGAGTCGCCGATTCCGGAAACGTCTCTTCTATTAACGTCCTCAACTTCCACCAAGAGAAAGTTGCAGCTGACTGGAAATCGGGGAGACAGATTTTCGGGGAATCAAATCGGCCCTTGTGAAATGATCCGTGACCGGAAGCTGCACCGGTCGTCATCAATTCACCGCCGTGACAATCGAATCCGCGATGCGGCCACAATTAAACAGAACTCGAAGGATGATTGATCGGTCGAGTGGTTCCCGAACGACGAGACATTAATCAGATCTTCCGGTTAAAATTAAAAGTCTAAGAACCTCTGCTACGAAACTGTTCGCAAAACCGTGAACGTCGATAGAAAATTAGAGAAATGTTGGCGATCGAACGGAGCGGAGCTCGCCGATAATTTTCGAAATCGTCCGGTTCTCTCTGGAACGGAAACGAGGTATCGGAGTGTCGCGATTGCGAATTGAATATTAATGGACACTATGGATTTCGATCGAGCAGCGGCCGAGTTAAATATTAATGAGGCCCTTTCCGTACGGGGAATTAATTACCAACGTTCGCGTGAAGTTCAAACGAATCGCGTGTATGGATTTCCAAATATTCGCGGCCTCAAAGAATTGCCGCGAATTTTATTCTCGTCGTCGGAAATGAATCGTAAACGCTGCTACAAATATTTTTATATATTTTTATATTATTATATTACATATTATTTTTATTTCACATATTATTTTTTTATTATTATGTTACATATTATTTTTATTTCACATATTATTTTTTTATTATTATGTTACATATTATTTTTATTTCATATATTATTTTTATATTATTCTATTACATATTATTTTTATTTTATATATTATTTTTACATTATTATATTACATACTATTTTTATTTCATATATTATTTTGTTATTATTATATTACATATTATTTTTATTTTATAAATTATTTTTATATTATTATATAACAAATTATTTTTATTTCATATATTATTTTTATATTATTCTATTACATATTATTTTTATTTCATATATTATTTTTATATTATTTCATTACATATTATTTTTATTTTATACATTATTTTTATATTATTACATTACATATTATTTTTATTTTATACATTATTTTTATATTTTTACAGACATTAATAAATAGAACGCAGTTGGAGGGATTCTGAAAAACATCGTTCGTACGCCTTCCGCCGAGAGAGCGCGGAATGTAGCAAGTTCGTATCAAGGATCTCGCATCAACCACGAGACGTATCGTTGCCGCGCATATCGTTCCATTAAATCACAATGCAACGCGATGCGTCGTTGAGCGAGCCACACATTTTCACGAGCATCGAGGCATTCTTTTCGCGAGCGTCTAGCTTCCCTGTGATTTGCAGTCGGCTTGATTTGCGACCTCTCCTAAATGCAACCAACCCTCCCCTCCCTCTCATATTAATTTCTATCATCCGCCAAGATCATATTTCTCCCGGGTGAAGAATCATTGCTACGATCCGGCTTCGTTGCTGCAAGAACCATTGAATCTCGCCTTCGAGGACAATGAATTTTCAATTTCCAGCTCGAGTAAATCTCACGAGTTGAAATTAGAATTAGAACTTCTCTTAATTTTATAATTATATATATATATAATTAAAATGATATAATTAACAATCGTGGCGTTTAATTTAACTGAGACGGTTGATTATTTATCTCAGACAGCGATTAATTTCGGTCGGATAATTAAAACGAGAGTCACTTAATCGAGAAATTTAGGGTGCCAAGTATAACGTCAGATACAGAGTACGCTATGGTATATTCGACAGTATCCATACGACTTCGTATGGATTTCAATTATCTGAAGTTGGTCGATCCGATCCTCGCCGAGCGCGGCTCGAAATATTTTATTAATGCTCGAGAGCCGCAGAACTCGGCCTGGGATTTGCGTGTAACCGACTGTACGCGAAACTTCGATATCCGCGGATGCCGCGCCATTTCGCTGCTCGCGAGAACAAGTTTCGTTTGTTTTCTACGATCCTGCGTCGATTGGAACTTACGATGCACGTGTATCGAAAACTTCGGTGTCGGCGTTGCTGTGCGCAACGAATTGGCCTTTGTAGCGTGGCAACTTTTCAAATCTCGTGTACTCAAAGTCATAGATTAATTGAAGAGGGAGCTGAAACACGGATAAACAAATGTCTGCATCTAAACGCGAAATTTAAATAAAACGAGATGCATTATATACTTGGCCTCGTGCGGTCACCAGGCTTCCACTTTTAGGATTTCCACGCCGGTTTCAGTCGGCTTCGTATATGTTAGGGTTCGTAAAAAGACTCGAGACTTCACGACGGAGAATATGACGGGAAATTGAGTCACACTAGTTCGGTTCGTATATCAAGAAATGTGCTTTGAGTGATGGGCGTCCGACCTATGACACGGCTATACCACTGTGTCATCAATTGTTTCATTTTTCATCTTATATATTTTAATTTTAGATAAGTATTAGTGTGATATACTTGGTGTCTGACTACCGACACGGCTGTCTCTGTCTCATTCATAACTTTCTCCATTCGTTTTCTATTTTTTTAACCACTTTGCGCTGGCAACTGACTGCGGACCACAACGAGTGACCAAACCGTATAAAATAATTCGTCGCTTTTATTTATGAACTCGTCGGTACGATATCACTGGATAGAAATTATTGAGAAGTAAAATAAATTTATTATTTATTTTGCCTGGGTTACACTTAAATATACTTAAAACTGAGAAAATATTG